GAGTATATATGCTTACTATTTAAATAAATGAAATTGTCTTTGACGCCATCTTTGTGGAAGTCGGAGAATTATCTGAAATAATAAATGTGTAGGTTAGGTTAGGTGTAAATCAGTCTATAATATAATAAGGTATATACTGATTTYATATATCTGAAGTGTTTGTATGTTTAAAAGTACTAATCTCAGAAACTACCTACTAGATCGATTTCCACAAAAAGTCATATCAATAGATTTTTTTATTTTCGGATGGTGTTAAATTTATCCTTTCAACCCTATAGACTATAATAGAGTGGCTCACACATGAATTTTGTTTTGGCTCACAAAGGATTGAATATTTTATATTAATTTTGTCTCTATAAATACGTATAGGGTTATCATTATTAATCATTGTTTTATTTATTTACTTATATAAATAACTTCGTTTAAAAAGCTAAATATGGTATATTAAAACAACTTCACTTGAAGTCACAATTTAGCATAGATGTTATGTGAAAAAAAGATTATTACAGTGACGTTTCAGATAAAAATATTTGTTTTCGAAACGCATCTGAGTTCCAATAACTAKGTAATAGTCAAGGGGTATTTAAATGCACATGATTCCAACAAAAGGGAACCACAAAACAGTGCATACCTATGAATGTTTAAAAAACCGGATATTTTGTAAATATTACTCTAAATGCWATAACTCTAAATATATAAAATATCTAGTTTGTATGTGAAATAACTAGTTGAAATATGTATTTTTGGATTCATCCAGTACATTAACTGAAAGTACTAGTGAATTTGTAAGATAACTAGTTATTTTATTGAAATACAGAATTTCATACATTAACGCTAACATATTATATATAAATATTAAAATATATACTTTTTTAACATCAGGCAACAGCGCAGATTGGCTAAAGTATTCTATGATGATATTAAACTCATATGGTTCCTAAAAAAATAGTGGATATTGACTTCAGCAATTATTACCGTATTTATATTTATATAGTGGTTGATAGTAATTAGTTCTAACAATAACCGCTATAAATTATATTATGAATTATAAGGTGATACTTACAYGGTCTTGTCTACTCGACCCATAAGTTTATTTTTTATTTTATCTTTATCACATACGTTTGGCACATGACGTAATAAAATTGTAATTTATATAATGATTATTATWATTATATTATATCGTAGGGATGCTCCTCAGTTTAACGGCTGCAGCAGCAGCAACAGCAGTCCAATTCCGATGGTCAATAACCATCAACTTAATCAACAGCAACATGCCACCGCGTGGCCAATTGGAAATGGTCTTTACGGTTACGAGCGGTCCGTCCAGTCACCCGTCAACAATTTCTGCCGTTTYCCTCCATCACTGATCGATAGTCCGTCTTCGTATGACTGGGACGAAGCGCACGACCAGGTGGCGCTCGACCAACAGGTGAGAATGATTTTCTATACTGTAGAGTAGAATATACATATTATCATTTTTTTAAATACCTTATCTTTGTTATTATACTAATCTCACATAATATATCGAATCGTATGATCCAGCACCAGTGGTGGTGGGAATAGGTAGTTTTGCGAGTTCCGTGGGACTCCAGTTTCCAAAGCTTTTGTAGGGTGATGGATCATCGAATAGGATTAGAATGTGCCTAAAAGAAAGTTAATCGTCTTATAAAAATATACACATTTCATAGTTTTTTTCTCGTGATAAAATAGGTATTAGTGTATTACTTCTGGAAAATACAATACTTAACAAACTACCTTACTATAAAATACTGTATCCTATGACGAAATAATAACTACTGYCTTATACACAACATACAAGTTCTACTATGTTTTACTTTAAACTATTCTGCAAATCCTTTTTTTTATAACATTGATGAACTTAATCAAAATCTAAACGTACAATTTCCTACTTATTAACCCAGAACAATTATGTTATTATTTGTTTTTAGTCGTATATATTAGAACATTTTGAATTTTTTTTTGAAAAAATTAGATAAAGTATGGGCCCTGTTTCAGCCTTTAACTATTAATGGTCTCAATTATCCACTAAGTGTCAAGTATATATCGATCCTTCGCACTTCGCCTACCTATGATCATATATATATATATAATGTTATAAATATTAACAATAGTCAATAGAATGAAATGCTAAAAAGCATAACCTATACTGCAGTAGTTTAGCTCAAAAATAAATTTAATACTATAAATTATTGCAAAGMATGAAAGAAAGACAGATAGATGAAGTAAGAATGAGAGAAATAGTAGCGTGAAGACTGTACAAACATTGTAAAAAAAAACATAGGTTTACATATATTTGACGTACCGCGAATGTCAAAAGTTATTTTAGAGTGATGAAAACATATTCCAAGGTAAAGAATTAGAAATTGTAAAAAACAAATTCACGAAAACCGTTTAATAATATAATAATATGTGTGTTGTTGGGGGTGGGGGTAGGGGGGTTGTACAGTACAAAAATAGCCCTGCCTTTAATTTGGAACAATTTCACGTTCCATAAAATTACGCGTTCTACTCGTCATCATAATATCTTATGATATATATATATATATATAGTCAAGGTGATTATTTTAAAGGTGAACACTAATTTTCTTGTTAATTACTGAGTAAAGTTTTTGGGAATCATTTTTTAATTCATCTTAAGTCATTACAAAATATAAAATAATATTGGAAAGATATTAAAAACAATTTTTTTAAATTTGATTTGCATTGWATCGTCAGTCATTTAGTTAAAAACTTATAAATATTAATTTAAAATATATTTTGTTGTTGTTTGTAATAAATTAAAATTCCGTAAAAATAATATTCATATACTTTTCAATACAATGATTGATCACTCTATATACGCACTCATGCTTTCCTCGTGTTAAAATTTGCCATTGTGGATGTCAGGAATAATAATTTATATTAATAATTTACACACAAGCAGCATCAGTATATTATATATATTAGCGGATTTAAGTTCCTCTGGTCACGTAAAAAAAGTTACGACATACGGTCATTTAGAAAAAAAAACTGAATTCTTTTTTTAATTYTGCATTTTAATGTTACTATTGTAATCGAGGAATATAATTGTTAAAAACCAGGCAATGGTTTCGGAGTTCATTTACCCTGTAAAATAAACAACAGCTGAATATTAAACACGTACCTACCTATATCGTTAAAGTGTAAGTAGAACTATAGCAGAGGTAAATAGTAAAATTATTTCCTAATTTATTGTGTATTCTGATATTGGTTTAAACAATTTTGTTAGGTATGCCAAACAAAGTGTTGGATAAACATACATTTACCATTTTATGTTTTTACCTGTTATACGTTCGTTGTAACTTATAAATTATAATATTCGATTTTGAAAAAATCGAATAATAATTATACAATTTACGAGTAGGTAGGTATAATTTTCCATTTGGYAATATATGTTATGATCGTTTTAGTATTTACAAAACAATTTATAAGAGTGAAAAAAATAAATGGAAAATCATTTTTTTTTTTAAATAAAATCTTTCAAATATATTCTAAGACTTAAATTTGTAACAATTACCATTGGTCGATAGTCCAAAATACCCTATTGGCTAGTA